GTGGTGCTGAGGAAGCACCACAGAGGCATGCATGGGGTAGGGATAAGCTGCTGTTGCTCACTGGTTCCAGCTGCTTCCTCCACGTTGCTGCTCGGATCCTATTCCCAGTTCCCCTTGGCTGCAAGTGTCTGGGTGGGGAGCAGGATCTGGACAGCAGCAATGTGAAGGAAGCAACTGGAGTCAGTGTGTGTCCAGTCACCAGCTTGGTAGCGACCTGGCCTGCCTTCAGGGAGAGAAGGAGAAGGCTGGGAGGGGGAGAACAAGGAGGCTGGAAGAACTGAGCAGTGGGGTGGGGGCAAAGTGGATTGTGAATCCAGTCAGGCTATGGACTAGCCTTTTGCATAAAGGACTGAAAGCCAAGGAAGTTACGAATCTGGGAAAGGCTCCCTGTTGTATTGATGAAGTTCCTCCTGAATAAGGTGACTGTTGTAGACATCAGGGAATCAAGAGGTCAGATCTATTGATTTCTGACCCACTGTAGTCTCTGAAGTGTGTGTGTGTGTGTATGTGCGCGCACACGCGCAGCATAATCAATAATAACCATCAATTAACAAAAACCAACACTGGCAAGAAGTCAATTAAAAAAACCCACCTCCCTCCAGTCAGCATATAAAACTTGGATTAAAAACGTCATCTTCAAGCAAACTCATGAGTCTACCTCAAAAGTCAATAAAGCTGAGTTTTCCCAGATCAGATGGGAAGCAAGTTCCAGAGCTAAGGGCATATTTACAGGGAGAAATTGACCAGAATAGCTAGAGCAGAGTAAGCTATATATATTGTTTGTAGGTTTCCAGGACAAGGAAGTTTCTGTCACACAGGAGGCCCCAAGTGAGTGCTAAGTGTGTTGGGATATCTATTTCCACCTTGTGATAGGGAGCAATATTTCCTCTAATTTTTTCACCCCCTGTGTGGACTAAATTTTGGTATGTGCAGATGTACACCACTAATAGAAACATTAAATGAATGGAGATGCCTGTCTCCTGGAACTGGAAGGGACCTTGAAAGGTCATGCTGCCAGCTGAAGGAGGCTGTGGGTGCTCTGCTAACCAGCGGAGTGGCACTTGAATCTCTCCTGGGTGGCCACCCACGTGCTCAGCGTGCAGGGAACATGGATGGGGAGCTCTGTGGACCTTTTTTTACCATCCAAATTATTAACAGAGGGTCAGCTGGTTTTCTTCTTTGTCCATGTTGTCTGGCTTCAACATCTCCACAACATCTGGCTCTGGGTCATTTTGAGTGGCACAGCCCCCCTTTTGCAGTCAGAGCCAGAGTCCACGGCAGGGATGGGCAGGAGAGACGCCACGGGTCAGATCCAGCCTGTGGCTGGCCTGCTGCTCTGCCAATCAAGACCTGGAGACGGGAGCATGTGAAGTCTCCTCCCCCCCACAGGGATGCATAGCACCAAAGGGAACCGCCAGCTGTTCAGAACAGCTGGGGGTTCACTCTAGGCATCACGCGCCCCCTGCAGGGCAAGGGCAGGGGGCAAGAGAGTTTGTGCGCTCCCGCGCCCACAGGCCCAGGTGCCAGGGCATGGAGGGAGGGGGAAGACTTCATGCCCTCGCCCACCCCCAGGCCAATCAGGGTCTGTGGATGGGGGAGCAGGGGAAATGTTCTAGCCTTGCCCCCTCTGCCTGAGAAATTTGTGAAGTGGCCTCCCATTCAAAAATTATTGCCCACCCCTGGTCCACAGTGATTGGACAGGAACCAAATGTCAGCTGCATCAGGATACTGGGAGGTCAGAAACAGAAGATAAGCTGGAGACCCTCATCAGGCTGGGTCAGGCTACCAGGGGGTCAGAAGCTGGAGACTGGGAATTACAAGTCAGAGGCCAGAAGTCAAGCCAGATCAGGATGACACAAAGCCAAGCTGGGGTAGCAGCAGGATGGAGACCAAATATTTGGTTTCCTGTTCTTGCTGCTGCCTTAAGTCGGGCCACTGGGCTAACTGGCCTCTGACAATCAGACCCTGGGGTGGGCTGAGTCTCTCACTGGGAAACCACACTGCATAATGACGGGGCATCATGCTATTGCTTCACTTTGCAATGCCACCTCATCACCTTCCAATGTCACGCGATTGCATCAAAGTGTCATTGTGGGGCATGTAACCCTCCTATCATGTGATATAGCAGCATGGCATCAGAACCATGAAATCATGATGCTGTATTGGCCAGTGAGGACTTTCTACTCCCCTCTTCCTTTCACCCTGCATTTAAAAAAAAATCTGAGTAAAAGCCAAGATCAAACTCAAAGGCTTTGTCTACACTGGTGCGATCTTGTGCCAGAAATACGCAAATGAGGCTAAGTGTGGAATATCGCCGAGCCTCATTTGCATATCTAATGAGCCGCCATTTTTGCGGAAGAGACTCTTGTGCCAGAAGGAGCGTCTACACTGCCCCTTCTTGCACAAGAAAAACCCTCTTGTGCAATGCCGTTACACCTATTATTTTTCAGGAAGAATGGCATTATGCAAGAGAGTTTTTCTTGCGCAAGAAGGGGCAGTGTAGACATTCCTTCTTGCGCAAGAGTCTCTTCCGCAAAAATGGCGGCTCATTAGATATGCAAATGAGGCTCGGCGATATTCCACACTTAGCCTCATTGCGAGTGTAGACATAGCCAAAATGAATAGCAATAATAATACATTAGATTGGGAGTGCCTGGAGCAGATTCTATTTTACTTCAGTGTTTGGTAAAGTGCTAGCCGCACAGTGGGTGCGTATGTAAGTAAGTGTGATGGTTGTAACTGTGCATACAATATCATATGTAGCATCATAGGTCTGGAAGTGACCTCAGAAGATCTTCTAGTCTAATCCTCTGCACTCAAAGGAGGACTAATCATAGATGCTGACTCCATGGGAGCTCTGGGCCTGGAAAATCCATGGGAAAGTCCTGCTGGTGAGTTCTTTTCCCTCCCTCCAATTGCCTTGGATCAAATGATCATCATGGATCAGCTGTTCAGCAGCATGCCAGAGGAGCTGTGGTGAGAGGTGAAGGGCAGAGTGAGGGCAAGGCATGCTCATAAGGAAGGGGGTGTAGAACAGGGTGGGAAGAGGCAGGTGGGGTGGAGCTAGGGGGCAGGCATTTGAAGCACTCCCTGGGGAAATGAAAAAGCTGGTGCAGGTGGGGTACTTGAGAGAAGTCTGGGGGGCACATGAACACAACTGAAATTTGGAGAAAACTGAATTTTTGTTTAAAGTTTGGCAGCAGTTTATTATTTTTGTACTTTTTACACCCCAAAATTTCATCACCTGCTTGGCTACAATTAAGTTGCTTAAAAAATGTGTTGCAATGGCAGAAAAAAATTGTGTGTGTCTGAAAACTGTAGGTACTGGGGGATATGTATATATTTTTTAAAAAGGGGGTACTTTATAAAAAAAAGTTTGAGAAACTTTGATCTAGACCAGCCTGGACAGGTGTTTGCCTAATCTGCTCTCAAAAACCTCCAGTGATGGAGATTCGCCAACCCCCCTGGGCAACTTATTCCAGTTTTTAATCACCTTGGCAGTGAGGAAGTTTTTTCTAATGTCCAACCTAAACGTCCCTTGTTGCAATTTAAATATGCAGAAAAATAACAGTTGGGAGTGACGGTGGAAACAGCTAGACTATGGAGTTGGGAATGTCAAACCGGATCCACCCCCAAGCTCCTGTCTCTAATCTCTTGTAGGGCTAGACGCCAGTGGTTCCCAAACTTTTCAGCATCACACCCCCCTTTTTGATTTTTGAAAAACCCTCAGGACCCTCCAAATAGCAGCAAAACTTGTTGAGCAAAAAAAAAAGAAAGTTTTGGGGCAGCAAAACTTAATAAGGGAGGGGAGCCGCCCCCCCCAGGAATTTCTTCACGCCCCCCAGTTTGGGAACCCATGGGCTAGAGTGACCCTTGTAGGGCAAGTTAACGCCCTTTCACCCACCGCTCACCTGCACTCGGGGAGCCGGAGACCGAACATTGTGAAAACTACAACTCCCAGCGTGCTCAGGGCGCCGTTTTGGGGCAGCAAAACTTAATAAGGGAGGGGAGCCGCCCCCCCCAGGAATTTCTTCACGCCCCCCAGTTTGGGAACCCATGGGCTAGAGTGACCCTTGTAGGGCAAGTTAACGCCCTTTCACCCACCGCTCACCTGCACTCGGGGAGCCGGAGACCGAACATTGTGAAAACTACAACTCCCAGCGTGCTCAGGGCGCCGCCCGCACGTCGCACCGCAACCTGCTAGCCTCTCTCCCGCCTCCTCCCGGCCCTTATTGG